CAAATTTTATATGATATTTTCAAATTTATATTTTATTCGAAAATAAAAACATTATCGTTTTCTCAAAACCACATAAAATAGTTTATATCGACATGGATAAAAAAAATAAAACGAAACAATGAAATGAAAATGTGTCTCGATGCATTGCACGAGTACCCCTCTAGTTTATTATAATATCAAAAGTATGTAAGTAGTTTTAATTTGTTTTGCAAACTTTTCCTTATAACTCCTAAAACATCAAACACTTAATCTTATTTTAGAATTACATAAATAAGGGTCCAAATGCTTCCATACATGTCTTCCTTTTGACCGACGTATCACCAGGTCATGCCACGAGACTTTTAACAGACGTTTCAACTCCAACCCGCTAAAACAAGTAACTTCTCTATAGCTCCTTCAACAATACTCAGCTCAACCTAGTTTTGTTTCCTACGTTGGGCATATAGGAAACATATATGGATTTTGTTGGAAGATTTACTTATGTAATGGGAAAATAATCAAAACTACATATGGTTTAAAAGATAATAAGGAAAGTAAAGAGGTTTTTTATTTCATTATTGAAAAGTACATACAGAGGCTTAAACAGTAAATGACATAATGGTTAATGGTAGGGCTGATGATCCTCCTTATTCTCTATTCCTATCTATTTATACATCTTTTTCTCTTGTCTGATCTATTTCTCTTAATCCACTTTGTAACTTGTAATCTGGCATCGTAACTTGTAGAAAAGCCATCATTCATCAATTCATTGGGTGATGGTGGAGGCTCCTTGGGAAGGGTGTCTGCCATCCATCTATATCATGTCTTCATGCAGGTGTCAAGAGCCACGTTTTTTACACATGGGATGGGCCCCATGTGTTTTATCACTTTGTCTTTATTCGTCATCAGATGCTAGATTGATACATGTATCTTCATCTATTTCTTTTCCTTTATCCGGAGAGCATGACGAACATCTTCCTTTATTATGTCCTCTGAATTAACATATCTTGTACTAGGCTTGTGAGCTGGATTTAATGATCCCTTTATCTAAAATATCTATCTTTGTTCTCAGATAATTCTCCATCACCCAATGAATTGATGAAGGATGACTTTTCTACAAGTTACGATGCCAGATTACAAGTTACAAAGTGGATTAAGAGAAATAGATCAGACAAGAGAAAAAGATGTATAAATAGATAGGAAGAGAGAATAGGGAGGATCATTGGCCCTACCCTTAACCATTATGTCATTTATTGTTTTACGCCTCAGTATGTACTTTTCAATGATGAAACAAAAAACCTATTTACTTTCCTTGTTATCTTCTAAACTTTATGCAGTTTTGATTATTTTCCCATTACATAAGTAAATCTCCGGACAAAATCCATATTTGTTTTCTATATACCTAACGTAGGAAACGAAATTAGATTGAACTGAGTATTGGTGAAGGAGCTATAGAGAAGTTACATGTTTTAGCGGGTTGGGGCTGAAACGCCTGTTAAAAGTCTCATGGCATGACCCGGTGATACTTCGGTCAAAAAGGAAGACAGGTACGAAAGCATGTTGGATTCAGAGGGGTCCATGGAAAAACCCAACCAATCTACTAAATTAAACGAAATAATAT